AGCATCTGCACGGCGTCGGCCGCGCGATTGAAGTTCCACACGCTCGCCGCCGCGCCGAAGCACATGGCGAAGTGAAACCATAACGTCACCCCCGACGACGTCGGTAGAAAGGTGCCGCAGTGCCCCGGGTGGCGGACCGCCCACTGGCGATAGGCGTTTTGAAGGTCGTGGCCAAAGACCACTGGGTCCCAACCTTCCGCCCAGGCCCGGAGAATCAGGTCGACGATGTCCCCCAAGAAGTGGTGGGTGGGCACGTCGGACGCCCCCATGGTGGCGTTGTGCTCCGACCGGCGCCAATCCTCGCCCCGGCGTAGGTTGAGGTCGCCGTGCTCGTCGACCTGGCAAATGGCGAAGGAGAGAGCCGCGAAGCAGTCCCCCGGCGGGGGCTGGCGAAGGGTGCTCATCCCCGCCACCGACGGGAGAGCGGTCGTGGCTGTCGACCAGTGACTCGGCGCAGCGCAGGGGCCAGTGACCCGGCCCAGGCGAGTCTCCGCCACGAGCTCGTCGAGGAGCGCCTGTGTGTGCTCTTGGTCACGAGGGCGGGCTGACTTCCTTGCGACGTACTGGGGGTTCTCCCGGCGCAGCCTGTCCAGCCCTTCGGGGTGAGGTAACGCCCATCGGAGCGTGGCTTCCAGCCCGGGGCGGCGCGGACTCGGCCCAGCATGTCGAAGCCTTCGGCCACATCCCGTCGGAGGTCGTCTGTGGCCGGGTACGCGAGGTCCCGCAGCAGGCGGTCGAAGATGAGCCCCTGAAAAGGGCGAGGCCGATCACTCGTCTCGTAGGTCGCCCGCACGTGCGGGGGCAGAGTGGCAAGCCAGGCCGTCGTGTCCTCCGCGGCGTCGTCGACCATCTCCTGTAGCTCCTGAAGCACCTCGGTACGGATGCGGGAGAGGTCATGGCGCCACTCCCGACGAAACCGGATGACCGCCTCCAGGGCGGGTTCCAGCTGGGGCCAGCCGACCAGCGAGTGCCGCATCCCGGTCGCCGCCGCCCAATGTGCGTCCTCGTCCAACCCTGCGCCCAGGAGGGCTGGTGTGGGGCGGGGCGGCGGTGAGAAGTCCCAGCCGTTCCGCGACCAGACCTGCGACAGCCAGGGTATGGTCCCCTGGCGTGGGAGCGCTGACGGCGCCCGACCGGACGCCACCGGCTTCGCCCAGGTCGCCATGACGAGAATCCCCAGCAAGCGGGCGGCCACGCCCCAATGCCAGCCGTTCCCGACCATGCGGTGGCGAGTCTTTGTGTCAGCGCCCGCCTTGGCCGTGTACCCGGCGGGAATGTGGTGGAGCTGCTCCTTCACGTCCGGCGGGGGAAGGTGGAGCAGGCCCCGCGAGTCCTGGAGCATGGCCTCGACGGTGTAGTGCCAAGGGGCCGACAGTCATGGTGGAGCGCGGCTTCTGCCGCCCGTCGTCCGTCGGAGCTGGTGTCGTGGCGCAAGGCATGAGCTTGCGCCCCTGGGCCACCGACGGATGAAACTGGAGGTCGCCGAGCTCGAAGGAATCAGCCGCCACCCGGGCGGCGGATAGGCGCAGGCGGTCCCAACGACCTCGCTTCGCCCACTCCAGGGGCGAGCCATCGGCGGGGTCGGTGACCACCCGAGTCCAGTCCACGCTCAACCACCAGAGGCGCGGGCGAGAGACCCACCCGAAGTCGGAGGGGCAGACAAAGACAGGCGAAACGCCCAGAGCATCGGACGAAACCTTGGCCGCCGCCGCCTCCATCTCCACGTTTTCGTAGAGAAAGGCGAAGCGATGCCGGCGGAGAATGGAGCGGAGCTCATCCATGAAGGCGACGGAGTCCTCGAAGAGGCGACCACGATCGCCCTGATGACCCACCCCCTTGGCGATCCGCGAGAAGTCCTGGCAAGGCGGGGCGGCACACCACAAGACCATCGCCTCGGCGTTGGGGTCGGCCTCCAATACGAGGGCCGCCACGTCCTGTGGCGAGTCGCGGGTCGACGCACGGCATGATCTGCTCGACCAGGGCCTTGCACGCCCGGTCGACCTCCCAGGACACCGCCAGGCGAGGGCGCCCGAAGTCTCGGTCGAGCAGGTAAGGCGCCGCCCCGATGCGGTCAAAGGCGGATAGCAGAATGATGTCCCGCCCGCGAGGGCGGTTGGTGCTGAGACGCGGGTGTT